ACCAACCTAGATGCCCTTCAATAGACGAATGGATAAAAAAAATGTGGCATTTATACACAATGGAGTATTACTCTGCATTAAAAAATGACAAAATCATAGAATTTACAGGGAAATGGATGGCATTAGAGCAGATTATGCTAAGTGAAGCTAGCCAATCCCTAAAAAACAAATGCCAAATGTCTTCTTTGATATAAGGAAAGTAACTAAGAACAGAGTAGGGACGAAGAACAGGAGAAGAAGATTAACATTTAACAGGGATGAGAGGTGGGAGGGAAAGGGAGAGAGAAGGTAAATTGCACGGTAATGGAAGGAGACCCTCAGGGTTATACAGTGGAGGGGGTAGAGAGAGAGGAGGGGAGGGGAGGGGAGAGGTGGGGAGGGGGGAGGGTGGATGATGGGAAAGGCAGCGGAGCACAACCGACACTAGTATGGCAATTTGTAAATCAATGGATGTGTAACTGATGTGAATCTGCAATCTGTGTATGGGGTGAAGGTGGGAGTTCATAACCCACTAGAATCAAAGTGTGGAATATGATATGTCAAGAAATTTGTAATGTTTTGAACAACCCACAATAAAAAATTAAAAAAAAAAAAAACATACTTCAGAGGTAATGTCACATGTTCATTGTCACTTACTCCTTTGCAACCCTGTGGGTTTGCTGTTATACTTAACCTCTGGTATACTACCTCCAGATCTGATTTTTTTTTAACCATTTAAATTTGTAGTGTTGTCCCATCTACCCTGTGGATTCCTTATAGGAATCCTCTATGTAAGTCATACTAATTTAAATGAAGAACTCATGGAGAAAAATTTAAGAATTTATTCTTCCTTCCTTTTGTTTATATCATTTGGACTGTCCTTCTGCTTATTTTCTCCTTGTCTAAATCCTACATATACTGAAGACCCAGCTTAAGCCTCACCTCTCCTTTTAAAATAATCTTTCAATGTATAACTAATTAGAACAAATAAAAACTAAATAATAAATTAAATAAAATCTTTCAATATTCTGACATATATAATGCTTACTATTAATGTCTCTGTGTATGTGTCCCTTAATCATGTATGGCCCAAGAACGGGTCTTTTGTGGAAAGCTTCCATGTGGTGTCTTTTCTATACATCCCAAATGCACACATGTTGAGAGAAGAAACTTTCATACTTTCTCTCCCAGACCATAGCTCACACTGAGTAAGAGGGATGGGTGTGTTGAAGAATGAGTGAATGCTACTCTTGCAACAGGGAGGAAATACTGAGATCAGGAGAGTCAGAAAGAGAAGATTTTTGCATCATCTAAAAATTGCAGTTATAGTAATAGTTGTTTCTAGTTCTCTTTCAGAAATTCTCTCAACAAATTTATTATCTTTTTATCCTTTTACTTTTTGAAAATAGTAAAATGGAAGTTCAAACAAAAAGTTCTCATATATATAATCTAAATACTCAGTGGCTGAGTGATATGCTAATTCAATTTATCAGAAAACATATTTTATTAAAGATTTATTTTTATCATAGTTTAGTCCAAAAATGTACTATACATCAAAGGAGGTAGTAACCTTCTAAGATTGTCAGAGATTTTTTCATATTCATACTTTTGTGTGTGTGTGTGGTGAAAACCTTCAAATGCCATTAAGTGTTTCTTTTGAATTTTAGCAAATCTTTCACCTTCCATATAATCCTCTAATAATAACAATAGTTTAGCTTTATCCCACTTTTAATTATTATTTTAATTCTTTTCTAGCTATTTAATTTATATAGTTTTTCTTCATAAATACACTGTTTGGTAGTATTTTTATTATTTTATTTGTTTTTATTAGTTATACATGTCAGTAGAATGTATTTTGACATACATATATGGAGTATAACTTCTCATTCTTCTTGTTGTACATGATGTGGCATTACATTGATCATGTAATCATATGTGCAAGTAGAATAGTATTTTAATAACTAGCTCAGAACTTTTATCTCAGGTCTTTTATTGCTAAGGAATATATATGCTTATGTATTTGTGTTCACACACACACACACCCCATTCTGAGAGAAGTAATGTGGAAAGTTGAGCAGTTATTTAAGAAATTGCATACTCACACCCTATGATACTGCCTTACATGTTTTTTTTTCTGACACCAATAAATTTTAGATGTGTATATGCTTAATTATTTTTGTAGTATACTAAGTTGGATTGGAGCATAGTATACATGTAGATGTGTGACTTATTGTTCCTTTTAGGACTCCCTCTGTTGCAAGTAGTAATAATAACCACAAAAGCTTTCTCCCTCAGTCTTAATCAAAAAACAGGATTTATGAACTCAAGTAATTGGTTAACAAACAGTCTTCAAAGATAGTTGGTACTGGGCTCAGTGGTTCAAGGGCAAGATCTCTCTCTCTCTCTCTGCACAGCCATGCACAGTGGCAGCTTGATGCCAAGGGTCGGTCTTCCTCGTAGTGTTAGTTTGACTGGCAACCACAGTTAGGGATGTGTACAACCTCTTTACATATGGTTGGGTAAACGGGGAGAAGAATGGCTGCTCCAGTATTCTGAGCAAAAGAGCCAAGATTCATCCTAAATGAACCAGTCTAGTTCATATGTTTACCCTTCTGACAGCAACAGTGGCCATGGGAATAAAATTATACAAATAAGTCCTTCAAACCCTGTCCTTGGAGCTACTTACACTTTGCTACAAAAGGAATTGCTACAAAACTTAACAAACTTTAAACAAAAGGCACTTGCTGTCTCACAGTTTCTGTGGGTCCAAAATTTGAGACCGAAACTGGTGTTCTGGGTTAGAATTTCTTGTGTGATTGCCAGGTAATGCTGCAGTTGTCTGAAGGTTTGGGGCTGTGCATCACTTCTAATGTGATTTCCTTGAATGACTATTGGCAAGAGGATTTATTTCCTCTTCATGGATGTTGTAGTTTGAATATCCTTCAAAAGCTCCTATGTTAATGCAGGCATATTCAGAGTTGAAATGATTCGATTATAAGAGCCATAACATAACCAGTCCCTTCTGGTTTTAATGGACTAATTGGACTAACCTGATGGTAATTATAGGCAGATGGGGCATGGCTAGAGGACTTAGGTTACTGAGGGTGTGTCCCAGAACGGTTCATCTTTCCTGTGGTCCAGTCTTCTCTTTCTGTTTCCTGGCTGCTGTATCCTGAATTATTTTCTTCTGCTACACTCTTCTGCCATGATGCTGTGCCTCACAGTGGGCTCAGAGCAACGGAGTTGGCCACTCATGAACTGAAACCTCTGACAATGTGAGCTCAAAAGAAACTTTTCCTTCTCCAACTTGTTCTTGTCGGTATTTTGGCCACAGTGCAAAAGTTGAATAACACAATGGGGTTGTTTGGATATCCTCTTGAAGTGGCAGTGGGTCTTGTGCAGGACAAGCAATCTTAGAGAAGAAGCAAGGAGCACCCTGGTGCCTCTTTGGACCTGTGTGTGAAATTGTACACCATTACTTCTATTCTCTTTTCTTTGTTAGGCTCAAGTCATTAAGTCCAGCTCATACTTTTAGACTCACTGTCTTCAAGGGAGGAGTATCAAAGAATTTCTGTCCATGTTATAAAACTACCACCTGAAACTAGAGGGAAGAGAGAGGGAGTGAGGAGAGGAAAGATGGAAGTCAGCAAGAGAGGGGTGAGGGGTTGAGGGGAGACAGTAGTCAGGGATGGTTGGAGTGGGTGGATGGACTGGGTATTTTAATGAAGGTCTGCTAGCTTTTACAAAAGGGTAAGATGGGAATGGATGTTAGACAACCCTTTGTAAAGTATCAGCAAGTGCCTATTATACAATAAAGTACTTTTCTAGCTAAGTAGCAGTTACTACTATTATTTTTTATAAGAAAATTTAGATTTTTTTCTCTGTGAGAAAATTGAGGGTTAGAGATGTTAAGTGGCATATCTGAATTTCTGCAGTGAGGCAGAAGGTAAATTAGAAGCTAGAGTAGTCTTCTCTGCCTTATACATACATGAGTAATTGTGTGGAGGGAGGTGGTGGAGAGGGATACTTGTGACAGTCTGAAATGCATCCAGCATTAAGAGTCTACCTCAGAAAAACTATAATGTTGATCATCTTTAAAATGATGGTGAAACCTTACCTTGATATCAGAGCCATGATCATAAGTATCTCTGAAGGCAAATTGGGCTAATGTGTGTATATTTCAGATAAACTGTCACAAGTTCCCTTTTCTCTATTTTACTTTTTGTGAATTTTTCCTGGATGAAAACTATAATGCAAAAGGTTATTACCTCTGGCCAGAATGAAAATTCAAAACTCTGTTTTAATTTTATTAAACATTAAAGAAAGGTAAAGGCCACTATTATTGAACATTTGGTTTTGATAAAAGAAAATGTGGAAAATATAGACCATGTAGCTCTCCAGCCTTGGCAGGTTTTCAGGGCATGTCTTTGGACTCAGAAGCATTGTCACTCTGCAGCAAATCAAAACTCTCTTCTTTAGAGAAACAATGCTGGGTGCTCCATTCCAGAAAGGACAGAGCACATAGCACTAATTGCATCTCTCTTTGAAAGTAAGAAAGGTGGCAGAAAAGAGTGAAGGAGCCAGACTTGATTGTTATTTCTCAGATCCAGAGGAAAAAGAGAGGAAGCCAGGGTACTTCGGTGGGTTTTGAGTGATTTATTCAGTCAGCCAGTTACACAAGACTAAATCTGCAAGTGTTGAATGTTTTGGTTTAAATTATGGAATGCATTTCTGCTCTTAGCATATTTTGCTGAAGTTTCTAAAGATGTTGGACATAGGAAAGGAATGAAATCACTTGACTATTTTAGTAGAGGAGAATTTTTTTTCCCATTAGAAATTTCAAAGTTTGCTTTTAAAAAAAATAATAATAGATTTCTGATAGTAGAATTCAGAAGAACTTTTAATTGCTTTGTTAGCCCTTGGTGGAAGATTATTTTTAGCCTTTGTAGATACATACCTTCTTCTTTTCTTGTATAAGGTTAATCTATTTCAAGTCTCCTGCATGTTCTTTTCACTTCTAGGATCAAGGTGGACTGGGCATTGCCATCAGTGAAGAAGATACGCTCAGTGGAGTCATTGTGAAGAGTTTAACAGAGCAGGGAGTAGCAGCCAAGGTTAGGCTTGACCATTCTCACCGTCACAAAGTGGTGGAAAAGGGAATTACTTCTGAAAAATCATTAATAATCTTTCACATTTCCATTTAGGATGGACGACTCAAAGTTGGAGATCAGATCTTGGCTGTAGATGATGAAGTTGTTATTGGCTATCCAGTTGAAAAGGTATTTTAAAGAAAAAGAAGAGTTTCACTAAGGGTCTTCAATTTCTATTTTCTGTTTTCCAATCAAGTTGATGTTAAGATGTTCACTATTTCCTGATTGCAAATTCAGTATTCTCAGCGAATTTTAATAAATGTCATAGGGAAACTTGAAACTCCTAAATAATGACTAACTTCATGTTAGGACCAAAGGAATCATTTTCTCCTGAATTTTTACTGTCCAGACTATCTACTATACAAATTGCTTTATAAACAGACTTTAAAACTCAGCCCTTAAATATATTACTGTTATTAGAATTGAACAGTACTGTGTATCTGAGCTTTCTCTTCAAAAGTGATCGTAATACTTATTTGGAGTTTCATTTGAGGGCATTTGTGTATAAGTGCTAGAAGCAATGTTTTGTTTACCCTGAGATCTTTTTCTTCCTTATGGTGAAGGAGAACCATGTAACTGAATATGTTTCTGTTTCTACATTGGCCAGCAAGAAGCTTAAAGTCATTTTTTTTTAAATTCGGTTTTAATGGTTGTATAAATTGGATCCTTTAACCCATAAATTTATGTTTTTACTTTCCATTTGCCTTGAGTTTTCTGATTCATGGTTTTCCTATCCTGCTTTTAACATTTTACTAAAAGTCCATGTATAAACTATTTTAGATTCTCTGTATAATCTGGAAGTGAGTTAAATATTCCATATATGTTCTAAGGTTGTAGGGATTCAGAAAAATGGATGAGAGTAATTGAAATATGAAAGTTGAAAAGCCCTCTACTTATATAAGGATAAATCTGGTCAGAACTAAGTGTGGAAATTAACCACTCTTTAATCAATATTAGGCATTTGGAGAAATCAGAGAAAAACTAGAACCATTTATTTTTTAGCTTCTCAAGTCCTGTCAAGGAATCATTTGCTTCTGTCTCTTCTCTCAAAGATAGAATTATATTCCAGTAATAATAGTGACTTGCATTTGTGTAAATCTGATAATTTGTTTTTGAATTTTGTTTTTCCTCCACACCAATATCCTGCCAGTTTATTGGCCTTCTGAAGACAGCAAAAACAACAGTAAAACTGACCATTCATGCTGAAAATCCAGATTTCCAGTCTGTTTCTCCATCAGCCAGTGCAGCCAATGGAGAAAAAAAGAACAGTTCTCAGTCTCCTGTCACCCCACAGACTGGCTCCCCTGAACTGGAACCTGAGTCCATTCGAAGTAAGGGCTGATTTCTACCCTGCATGTGCAGCAAACTCAGCAGAGTCCTTGCCTGGGAATCAGCTGCCTGCCTGCATCTTATTGTTTAATGGTCTTAGGGGACCCCTTTGGTAAGAGGGTGGTTAAAGAGAAGGGCTACCAAAGGAAGAGTCCTATACTGTTAGGTAGGAGATGTGTGTGCTGTGCCCTAGTCAGCCCTGGTATCTTAGGAAACCCACCCTCCTACTCCAGCCTCAATCAGCTTCTTCCTCTCTAAAACAAAAGAATCCCCTCTTTGTTCTCCAGAAATCTCTTGCTGAGAGTATCTGTGAGTCCAAATATCTAACTAAATGTATTAGAGATACCATTTTCTAGATTTTTTTATACTAGGAAAGTAATTTAACTTCTCTAAACTTCAGTTAATCTATAGAGTGGATATTCAGAGTTACAGTTGTACAGATAGAATCAACACTGCCACTAATAAGAAACTTAAAAATGCTAGTTATTTATTACCACATGCAATGTAAATTGAGTTCTGTGGCTGGTGTGTATTAGACAATCATGTCAAATTAGATGAAACGTATGTATGTGGATTGGTGTGTCATTAAACTGCCAGACGAGTATATAGAGGGAAATTATTCCCTTTAGTTACTTTTTGGAAAAATCATACTAGAATCATTTCAAGCTCTGCAGTAAATTTTGATTTAAAAACATTGGTTTATTTTTCAACTTAGGAGGATCTCTTGGCCTACAAACTGAAACATTCAGTTCTTCTGACAGGTTTTTAAGGAAATGCTGGTTTAAAACATTCATAATATAGTTGGACAAAAAGTCTTAAAGTAATACATCTCTGATGAAAGTAATCCTGTATTTAGAAAGTAATTCTGAGTAATTTGCTGAAGTGTTAAAAGATTTTATGGAAATTTTTTCATTTTTTTCAGTTTTATGTTGGTCCCTAAATAGCATTGTCTATAAAAATATGAAATTCTAAATGAAAACTTAACACAAAAGAAAATATCTTACACCTGTTCATACCATTTCAGAAAAAAGAAAATAGTCTGTTTCTGATTTCCTAAAAAGAGAACATCTTGCCTAAAGCATACGCTTCTCTGCTGAGTGTCCTTGCTTTCCCAAACATGCTATTGCTATGTGTTCTTTGTTGTATCATAAAACATATGATACGGTATGAAGACTCATAAAGCAAGGTGTGGAATTATATTCTTGTTTTTATATTATATTCTTATGTGTTGAGTTCTGACCTGTCTGCATTAGGATTTGGTATCAGAGTTTAGAAAACACCGATGAAACACCACAATGAAAACTGCAAATGCTTATGTGTACATGTAAGCATATGTGCTGTGCGTATGTGTTCAGAAGTGATTACATAAGAAGAGATGCTTAGGAGAAGAAGAGGAAATCAAAAAAGTAAAAAGAGCAGGCACCATGACCAAGATTAGTGATGTGTTTTGTTGTCTAAGTACAGAATAGCAAGTGATAATTAAAATAATTAAACAAATAATTTTGTACCTACCATCCAAATTAACAGTGATTACCTAGTCATGTTTGTTTGACATTTTTAAATATAAGATAACTAAAAGATTGAAGGCAAAATTGAAGAATTCTCCTTTTTCCCCCAGTCCTGGACCTGTTTCCCTGCTCCATTCCCAAAGACAACCTGTGTCGATATACATATTTTCTAGTTCATTTTTATTTTTATTTTATTTCATTTTTAATTTATTCTTAGGTACAAGCAGATCATCAACACCAGCAATCTTTGCTTCTGATCCTGCAACCTGCCCTATTATCCCTGGTTGTGAAACAACAATTGAGATTTCCAAAGGGCGAACAGGGCTGGGTCTGAGCATCGTTGGGGGTTCTGACACATTGCTGGTGAGTGCCCATCCAGAGTGCTTCAGCCATGCAGGTAGCTTCCAGACAGCTTCAAGAGACTCCAGGGAGATTCCTATCAGTTAATTATATGAATTATTAATCACTTATTGTTATTTTCATTTATAGGGAAAATATTCGATTAGGTACTAGGACCATTACTTTGAGTATTGATCACTACTGACTCAGTAAGATTGTGTTACACTTGTTACTGTGACCTTTAGTTTTCAGAATGTCTTACTAGTACTTGATATAACTTAATTTCCTTTTTATTAATATCCAGGTTGGTTTAGTCCTATATTGAGAGGAGTTTAAAAAACTTTGTAGACAGAATTTCCTAAATGTCAAAAATACTTTCAGAATCATTTTGTTTGTGGATAGAAACAATAATATTTCCTTACTATATTTAAATATGATTTATATGTTTTATGATTTTTCCTACTTCTCTATAATTGGAAAAAATAAACTTCTTTGAGACTTTTTGCAAAAAATATGCTATTACATATTTCCTAGAATGATGCTATTTGGCTCACATATAAACCTAGTGAGTATATAAATCCCTGTGGCTATCAGGAAAGTACGCTGTGTTTGGACTTCATTTCTTCTCACCATTTAAAGGGAGAATGGGATAAAGCATACTATGTTGCATTTGGATCCTTAGGGTGCCATTATTATCCATGAAGTTTATGAAGAAGGAGCAGCATGTAAAGATGGAAGACTCTGGGCTGGAGATCAGATTTTAGAGGTACAGACTGCTTATTTTTGATCTTCAAAAATAACAGAGAAAGTCAGTGAGAGGGTATGTGTTTCTTTGCTGCTTTCTTTCTCTCCTCTGCCCTCCTACCTTCCTTTCCTTCTTCACTTAATTCCCCCAGTTCCTCCTAGTCAATGTCACATATCTGTTTAGGTGAATGGCATTGACTTGAGAAAGGCCACACATGATGAAGCAATCAACGTCCTGAGACAGACGCCGCAACGAGTGCGCCTGACACTCTACAGAGATGAGACCCCCTACAAAGAGGAGGACGTGTGTGATGCCCTCACCATTGAGCTTCAGAAGAAGCCGGGGAAAGGCCTGGGATTAAGTATTGTTGGTAAAAGGTGTGCCTTTGGAATTAATTGCAACAACAGTAGAATTTTATCAATAGTTCATGTTCTGCAAGTAGCTGTCATTGGCCCACTTACAGTGAAAGCATAGAATGATACTGGTTTTGAACATTTAAATCAGGATATTGGGGGATTTTGAATATGCTCGACAAAAAGCCATTTGGTGTTTTTGTGTGCTTGCTATGTGTCAGGAAATACCTTACATTCTGAGGAACAAAGTTAAGTAAGACATGGTTTCTGACCTCAAAAATTAACAGTTTGGCGAACAAGAATTAAAAATATTCTTATAGCAAATCAATCTGTTGAGGAATTAGAGAGACACATTATGGAGGAGCTGTGGAAGCAGAGGAGAAAGGAACCAAGAGAAGTGGATTAGGGACATGTTCCATGAAGAGAGGTACCTGCACTGAGGCTGAGAGTGATTGAGATGATAGTTGGTCTGCTGAAGGGACTGGAGGATCATACAGGGAGAAAGATCAGAATGACACGAGCATGCCATCAGCACAGGACAGAAAGCATGAAGCCAGGGGATGGGTGCAGGCAGATCAGTAAGGGCACATGATTAGTTTAATATTTATAGGTATGTTTGAAAATATTTATATTAAGTCATAGTAACATTAAGTTCCATAAGTATTTTTTTTTCCTTTTAGTATTATAAGCTCATTGGGATCAGAAAATACCAGGTAATGAAACAAATGAAGTTAGTGTTCAGTAAAAAGAAACCGAATTACTATCACCATTTTTCAGGCCTCAGATATCTAGTTTCAAAGTAGGGTTTTTCTTTTTTCCCCCAACTGAGTCAAAAATTTATGAAATTGTGCCCTTTACATCAGAATATCCTTTGGAAATGGGCGTATCAAAATGCCTACCTGGTTCTGCAGGGACATTTCAATTCAGAAATAAAAGGATATTTATTCCGGTTTGTTTTTTAAGAGACAACTAATGATTTTTTTAATACACAGAAAGAAAGTATCATATTATTGAAATTTCAGTAGGAATGTGTCTGAAAAATTAGACATTATTTTTGGGAAAACAATTTCAGTTGTGTAGCTGTTCTGAAACACTGTGAGCTTAGCATTCACATGGGGACCAGGCTACCACAACATGTGGGGTCACCAGGGCACTATAAAAAGCTCCAGCAACAGATCCTGTTTACATTAGGAAGAGCACACAAAGATTATCTAATCCAGTACCCTAATTCTGAAGATGTGAAACTAGAATCAGAAGGTAGAGTGCTTTGTTTGAGTCAGATCCCTGGAAGAACAAGTGATATATCCCATCTTTCACTATGCATTTCTGTTTACATTTACTTTTGTATCTTAATGGGAAGTTTGGGGATTTGTTTTGTTTTGTTATTACTTTTTTGATTTCATTTAGTTTTTATTTTTCTATAAAAGGATTGGAATAAGATTAATGTTTGCTCATTTTGGAAAAATCTATCTTATGTCTAAGTAAGCTGTAATGATTCAAAGTAAAATACATTGCAGTAATGGTAGTTAAGTTTGCATAACAAATGGTTTTAGTTTAAGATACACATGTGTTATTTATTTCCAACAATGTTAATAGTGTTGATGATAACAGCAATGTGTTTTCATAGCCACAAGTCAATATCCATTTAAGGATTCATAATGGTGTGGAAAGAACAATAGATTTAACATCCGAGGACTGGCTCTTTATTCCTGTTTTTACCATTTACTAGCTGTGTGGCCCATAAAATGAGAAGAATAGTATCCCCTCCTCTTCACAGTATGTAATTGATGAACAACAAATATGCTTATAAAAGATCTGCTCAATCTCTGAAATACTGTAAAACATATGCCATTATTTAATACATGTTGCCCCAGCATTGCTCAAAACAATAAAACCCTTAAAAATAGATGTAAATTTTTCATTTTTTAAAAAAGTTAGCTTTCCATTAAATAAACATTGCATTTCAGTTGAGGAAAAGTAATAATGTTGAAATTCAAAATGGTTTGCAGAAACGATACTGGAGTATTTGTGTCAGATATTGTCAAAGGAGGCATCGCGGATGCTGATGGAAGACTGATGCAGGGTGACCAGATATTAATGGTGAATGGAGAAGATGTTCGCAATGCCACCCAGGAAGCTGTAGCTGCATTGCTAAAGGTATAAATCCGATGCCAAAAATAAGTGTGTATAAGAGCAAAAAGAAAGAGAATTTAAACTTCAGCTACAATAGTTTAGTTACTTCTCTAAAGTATCATCTCAAATAAAACATTTTTCCTACTTCTCTATAATTGGAAAAAATAAACTTCTTTGAGACTTTTTCCAAAAAATATGCTATTACATATTTTCAGTGACAGCTGTTTATTATGTTGTTCTGTATTTATTTAGTGGTATTAGGATTCATGAACTGAGTATTTAAAATTCTAGTAAATCTTTCTAAGATGAATATTGTGTAAATTCTTGCTTAAAACAAAACACATATTCAGACACAAAAGTCTCAATATTTGCACCTCCATCTTTGTTTCTGGATTATTTCTTACAGCTTCTGATATGATTTAGACACATCTCAGACACAGAGGTGCTCTTTTTTTTCTGTTTTCTTTTTTGTTTATTTAACTTTGGATACTATTTTAAACATCTGTTATCCTTTTTTCTTAGTATAATGTATATATACATCACTACAGTCAAAGCAGCCAAAAATGTCTTTGTTTATTTATTTTTATGTGTTGCTAAGGATCGAACCCAGTGCCTCACATATGCAAGGCAAGTGCTCTGACACTGAGCCACAATCCCAGCCCCACAGAGGTGCTTTTTTAAAAGTGTCTTGGCTGAACTGCCCAATATGGGGATCACCAGAGGTGAGATGGGTATCCATGACACCTCTGGAGATCATATTTTCTAGGCTTTCCTGTCACCAGCTCTTCTTTAACCCCTATTTTGGCATAGCAGTGTCAACATCTTTATGAAGGATAATGAATAATGTGACAAAAAAATGTGGCAGAAAGATTTTATTATTTATGAGCATTAGAATATAATGTTTTGTCTAAATCCTATTCTGACTCAAAACTATTGAACTATTTGAAAGTTGGTATTTAAAATCAGGTTTGGGTGAGCCAACCTTATATAGTGAAAATAATTTAATGCAGTTTCACCTGGCAGTACTTTCACTGGGAATTATTCAGTTTGTTGGAAGGACCCCATCCCTACGTATCATTCTAAATTTAAGTACATTTCGCATTATGAAATAGATTCCTCCAAAGAAAGTTCAAGAAGGATCATTTTCCTATTGAAAATGCAGAATAAGTCTCATTTTGAAAAAGAATTGTAAAGTACAGAATAATCACTTAAAAATACATTTGTTAGGACTATAGACATATTTCTTATTAGGGTATATTCCAGTTTATAGGGAGGATATATATTCCTGTAAATGGGCAATGCTTATCTTTTTGTTCTCCTTTACCTTGTGTGGTTTTTAACCTGAAGAAGTATAATTCAACATTGACTAGAAAACCATTTCCATCAGTGCCTATGCCTTGGGTACAACTTGCTGTGAGTCCACGTGGCAGCTCTGCCATGGTGGACTGGGCGTCATGGAGGGATGTTCCAGGCGAGGCTCTTATTTTTTGGCCTCTGATTTGGATAGGATTGTGAATATGAATGTGGATATAAAATCAGCCATTAACAAACATTAAAACCTGTCATTTATTGAAATTTTTTAAACATCAAGAATTCTTTAAGGAGGAACAGTTTTCCTCTGGAGATAAAAATATGTTGGCTCTGTAGCACTGTTATGTCTCTGAATAGAAAGTATCCATAAAACATAAATAATTTTAATATCAATACAGCCAACCATTGTAACAACCTGTATGGTTGAGAACCTTAAATATTTGTATACTATAATGTTCATGCTGCTGTTTCTTATTTTGATTGGTTAATTCTTCATTTAAAAACCTTACTCATATAACTTACAATATGGAAAAATTTAAGTACGTAAAGTTCATCAGAGTATTATTTGTAATAATAAGAAAATTGGAAGTAACATAGTTGACAAAAAACTACATCAACTTTGGCATGTATTTCAAAGATGCATAACAAATGTGTCTATTTGTAGTGATCTTTATGACAACTATATTAACATAAAAAATGTAATCAGTGAAGATAAAACAAAAAACAATTGTGGTTTACAATATCAATATAGTTATGTAAGATGAAACCTTATAAATTTTTAACAACAACTATGAGGTAATTATTGAAATTAACTTTTTCCTCATTTCACTTTCCAATTTTTTCTAATGAGAATTAATTGCTTTTATAATGGAAAGATTACCTTAAATTTTTTACAATAATCAAAACCTTTGGACTTTGAAAGAGCTGTGTTATAGGTAGATGAAAGAGTTATAACACTGCATAGTGAATAATAAATGCATGAACTTGTTAACTTCTGCATTTATGTAAGCTGAAAACACAAGTAGTTCCCAAGAAAAGTTTGGTAAGTTTGGGGCTAAAAAAAAAAATGGTGAACCAACAAAACAAATAAAAATCAACTGATGGCTATTTCAGGTTAAGTTTTGACTTTTCAAGTTCAAGCTTCCCTTGGTAGCACATCAGCAGCATAACAATGTCAGTGCCTCCTCTTTATGCCTACTCTTAGACACTGTCATAAGCACTGTACATGGACTACTTTTCTAAACAACTTATTATGCTCTACATTCTAAAAATGCAGAACACCAACTATATTAACATTAGATATCCATTACGGTCACAGAGCTAGTAAAACACAGTCTGAATTTAAATCAGTGTGTCTGAACTCAAAAGCCCAGGGTCTCAAACACCTTGTGGTGCTACTACATCCTGTAGTATTAGGCTATGTAACATTTCTTGCATGCCTGTGGCTTATTTGTAAAGGGCTATAGGGAAATTATCTTCAGTTTTTATTTTGTATTTATGACAATATTTATTTAAGTATTATGTAAGAAGTCTACTCAGGTACAGTGTAGCAACAGATCATTTGCCCAAATTTATGAGCACCTCTTCTATTAAGGAAAAATAAGTTGTGGTTGTAGTAGCAAATTTATTGTTTTTTTTTTAAGCCCTGGGTTATTCAGTTCATTTGGCCTTTCTACATCAGTGTGTTTCATGAGATATTTGCTCAATTCTCAATTGCTCTTTGCTTTGGTAAAAATAATCTCCATATAAATCTTGAGATAACAAGACATACACCTGGGGTTGCTGCTGCTGTTTGGTTTTGTTAGTTTTTATTAGTTTTAATGTTTTAAAGGCATTTTTCACAAAGGATTGGTGATATCCTTACCTGTGGAAATCCCAAAGGAAAAACACTTTCAAAACCTCAGTGTTGAAGAGTAAAATGTATTGCTAAAGATGATTATAGAATTTTATTTAAGCATTTCCATAAAACAACCACTCCCCCAGTGTTCCCTAGGCACAGTAACCCTGGAAGTTGGAAGAATCAAAGCTGGTCCATTCCATTCAGAGAGGAGGCCTTCTCAGAGCAGCCAGGTGGGTAGCTGTCCATACACCAAGAAGAGCTTATAAATGGCCCCATGGTGGCACTGTCAGGGACATGGACACATATGTGGCCCTCTAAGCAGGGTGACTGAGTGAGTGCAGAGTTTGAGATAGGGCAGGATAGAAGATGAGAGTGGGCAAAGAGACAAGGTGTGACTCTTGATTAGTTTAAAACATCATAAGAATGTGATTTCAAGCATTCTTGTTTTCCCATAATCTCAATGAGTTATCATCGAATATATGTAAGGTCTACCAAGATACCAGATTTTAAACATACTGTGTAGCAATTGCTAGCATCAATCAGTATTCAATATTCAACTGAAAAACCCCACATAGGTGAACTGTAAATTCTCTTTACCCTTTATAAATTACAATATTGAAATAGTTCAAGATTTTTCCAAGTCCTTTCCTCAGTGCTTTCTTCTGAAGACAGAAGTAGATTTGTACCAATCTTGCCTTTAGTAACACTTTCAGACTTCCTTAATTACTAGATTAGTTTATCATTAACAGGCTCTAATTGTATAGTTTTTGTTTAAGTCCTAGTCTTTGTGCATCAGTTGTTTATAGAGGATTGTCTTAAATGAGATTATGAAAACTGTTAAAATTTTAGGTAAGTTGAAATCAGTCTTATTTACCCTCTTAGCTTCAATTTACCCATGTTATTAGGCAAATTATTTCTTCAAAAGAAAAAAAAAATCATCAGGAATTATGTTTAAATTGCCCTTCAAATTATCAAATGCCACTGTTGTTTAATGGTATTTCTCTTTAGATGCACTAAAAGAATTGAATTCTGAAATAAGTGGTATTTAGGGAGATTTATTATTTCTAAAATCTTCTAAAATAATTGGTGGATTTTGTAGGTGAGTGAAGGCAGTTTGTCATCATTTACTCTTCCCCTTTCTGGAATAAGTACATCTGAGTCACTGGAAAGCAGCTCAAAGAAGAATGCATGTAAGATTGGTTCAATATTTTAAGCATGTTTTACTGATCTGAATTTTGGTCGGCAACACTGTTTTTTTCTTTCCCTCCCTCCCTCCCTTGCACTCTTTCTCTTTTTGTTTCCTTTTCCCCCATCTCCCAAATCATCCCATATCTTTACGGAGGTACAAAAACGTGGGTTGGCAAAAAAATCTGAACATCATGATTCTGTGCCTGTGGCAGCTTTTCCCATTTGATGTTTACCCTGAAAGACATAGGAAACATTATCATCAGGATTGTATAGTTTTTTCTTACTGAGCAGACTGGTGTGTTTGATTTGCTTCTCTTCCTCTGTTTAATGTGACTCCAGCAAATCAGAAGATGCCACTAAGTGAAGCCTTCTTTTTCCATGAAGATTGCAAAATTTTGAGAAAATTAATATCATCCTCCTGTGTTTTAATTACATGAAATCGTGATGCAAAGGGTTTTTTGGCTTGATACATTAGTTGAAAGTTGTTCAAATTGAAGAAACTAACCATATGGCAGTCTCTGTTTGCAATATGACTAATATTCTAGAAGTTTAGGCACTTAGTCCATGGATTCTTTTAAAAATGCATCCGTGACTTTATTCCTCTCAGCTGTGCATGTGTCTTTCTATGCAAAGTGCATTCTGTCCTTGACTCATTCAAAGTGGATTATATAGTTATATAATTGATGCTTAAAATGAAGAGATGAAATGAGATGGTATGTGCTTTTTTTCCAACTGGAGAAATGATGAGTTCCTTTATGAGTTAGATCTAATCACATCTACTGTGTATCATTTATTTTTTTAATAAAATAAATGATAGCCCATGTAGTCCCATGTAGCTCCATGTATTGGTGAAAATTTTTTTTTTTTTTTTTTTTTTTTTTTTTTTTTTTTTTTAAAGAAAGAGTGGGGGAGAGAGAGAGAGAGAGAGAGAGAGAATTTTTTAATATTTATTTTTTTTAGTTCTCAGCGGACACAACATCTTTGTTTGTATGTGGTGCTGAGGATCGAACCTGGGCCGCACGCATGCCAGGCGAGCGCGCTACCGCTTGAGCCACATCCCCAGCCCCTATTGGTGAAAATTTAATGTTCATAAAAATGCTTTGATAACTGTATTATATCTTTTTTTACAGTAGCATCTGAAATACAGGGATTAAGAACAGTTGAAATAAAAAAGGTAATTTGGTGTTTTCAGAGGCATCTACATTTGTATTTTTCTGTAACTATGTTATTGCTTCATAGTATCCAGCTGAATACACACACACACACACACACACACACATTGTATACAGTGGAAATAACACAGTGCAGTCTTTGCTGAATTTCCTAGTGATATGACCTCATTTGAAAAATCACTTTTGCCAAAAATGGGCATCAATCTGACCCTACACCCAATCATTCCCTGCATCTCCCTTCTGCTGATCAGTGAGCCTTTCCTTTCAACAGACACTTCTCAGTTTTGCTGAAACAGATTTCCCATACAGCCATGAACAAGAGAGAAAATAAAAGCAGCTGCAATTTTTGAGCTTTATGATGTGTTGAGCGCTTTTCTAGACACTTCTTGTCAACATCATGTCCTTTAATATTCATTGCAGCCCTCTGTAAGGGTCACTGTTATCACCATTTTAGGAATGAAGATCATCTGGTGATCTGTTGAGGAGTGGGATTGTTCTAGATCCTAGCATTTGTAAGCATAGATCCCTGGATTTGAACTCAGATTTGATTCCCCAGATCGTGGCCTTTTCACTTCAGAGTTTACCTGCTCATCTGTCTCACAATATGATTTCCATTTAGCATATCTTGATTTTTTTTTTCTTCCTGAACAGATGCTTATTTTCTTAACCCATACTAAGGACCTCTATCAAATAAAATAATGCAGTTATCTTAAGCTACATTTTCCACCCTCACACCCATAGAACATCAAGGTGGACACTAGAATCTTGAACCAAAGAATAAACAAAGGTCAATTGAAAGTAACACTTTTACTAAAATCTTACATCTGTTGCATGGCAGGGGCCTACTGACTCATTGGGAATCAGCATAGCTGGAGGAGTGGGCAGCCCACTTGGTGATGTTCCTATATTTATTGCAATGATGCACCCAAATGGAGTTGCAGCTCAGACGCAGAAACTCAGGGTAAGTTTTACCAATAACCATAGTAGCTCTAACAAATCTAGCAAAAGATTTTTATGGGGTAGTATTTTTTTTGTTTTATATAAATCCTTCTAATCTAACCATCTATTGCAAGGCTGTTCTAAGTCAGCTAACCAAGCTACAGCAGACCTTGCTTTAAGTAAAGGATAAAGAATAATAATTCAAAACAAAACGAAAGGAAAGGAAAAAAATGATATTGTTGAACAGGAATTTGCAAGTAAGTGAAATGGGAAGATTTACAGTTGTCTCTTTGTATTTTTATTATATGTTTTGACTCTGTGGAACAAGTTAAAATAATGCAAAGTTATTTTCAGAAAGCTAGTATGAAGTGAAACTTTTCTGTTTTATGTTTTATTGGTATAAATGCTGATTCAACTTTATTAAATTGAAAAGTATCATTTATTTTCATTTGATTGTAAAGTTTGCAGAAACTTAATATAAAGTGACTTGCAATATTGTAAAATTACACAAAACTTGCTTACATTGAGGGATTATTCATATTAGAAGAGTTTGATGGGCTTTATAATAACTGGACAGCTCCAAAATCATGTAAATACTCTTTTAAAGCAATTCAGTCTCTTTAAAAGTAAAGCCTCTGTGGCCTCATACAAGTTCTCCAAACACAATCATGTTTAGTATAAATATCCTCTAGATTGGAAATGGTTCAGCCTCTTTTGATATCTAAATTAATTACTGACATTTAAAAAATGATGGTATATATACCATGGGGATCACTTTTCTCTAAGGACATAGTGAAATTTTTGGCTTTGTAGGTCATATGAGTGTCTGTTGCAGCTGCTCAGCTCTGCCCTGTGCAAGCAGCCAAATAAGCCTAGCTGTCTTCCAGCAAACTTTATTAACCAAAATAGGCAATGGGCCAGATTTAGCCTGTGGGCGTTAATTTGCCAGCCCCTGATTTAGTCACATCTAACGATTATAGTGATAATATCCAGAGAAATTGAAGTTTCCAAATAATATCCATATTTTATTATTTTAATAAGAAATAATGCCTTACCCTGGAGAAATGAAGAGTGACTTTCCCCCTCTCCCCCCCCACTCCCTTGGTGACTATAGAAATCAATGTGTACAACTTTTTTTGTGGTTGCTCCTTGGACTTCTTGGAATCGGTCATTTTCATCATTATATTTTAATGTCTGGTGACAGTATATATGTGAAGTTGACATTAAAGAAGGAAATGACTGCACTGGTCTCCAAGTCTTATTTTCCCTGTGTGCTTTAGTAGGTGGCTATTTCTTTCTCTCCCTGGCAGGTTGGTGATAGGATTGTCACCATCTGTGGCACATCAACTGAGGGGATGACTCACACTCAAGCAGTTAACTTACTGAAAAATGCCCCTGGCTCCATTGAAATGCAGGTGAGGTTTGTATCTCAAGCACTGTTCAGAATATGGGTAACTTTGAGGGCACATGAACTTTGATGTTAAAGCAGTAAAAAGGATTGAATCTCTTTTTTCGCATTTAATATATCCTTGAACATAAATGATATAAACTGAGAGCTTGAAGAATATACATATGAAACACATTCCATTGCATTTTACCCCTATGCATTTATTGTCTCCTACTTTATTTCTAAGGGCAAAATACAGGGTCTCAACTGTGAACATTAATTGCTAGAATTTTAAGTGGTGTGAGTGTCTTATATTCCAAGAATCTTTAAAAAATAATTGCACAGGAGACCATGTTTTAAAAGCATCAAACAGCATTGTAGAATTGAGTTAGAATATTTTTATTATCTGTATAGTTAAAAAGCCACTGGATCTTGTGAAATTTCTCTCTTATGTTCACAGAAATGATTAAGTGGACAATAAAATACACATTTTAATCCAAATTCTCTCTTTGAAGAAAAACTGCTGCTGTCTCCCTAGCCACATGAACATTTGTCTTTTTTCCTCTCTATGCTCCTTTGTACACAGGTGGTTGCTGGGGGAGATGTAAGTGTGGTCACAGGTCATCAGCCGGAGCCTGCAAATTCTAGTCTGTCTTTCACTGGACTAACATCAAGCAGCATATTTCAGGATGATTTAGGGTGAGCTCTTATGTTATGGTACATTATTTGTTACTTATGAATCAAGTCTTCCTGACAATTATATTCTCTGTCACATGTTTCTAGCATTCACCTAGAGATGAAATATATAGGGAGATGAGGCATAAAATGCAAAACCCCAGTGCTTTTAACTATGAACAGTTATGGCATAGATTTAGCTAATCAAGGAAGGATAGATTATAGACCCATAGCTATACATAATACTACCCTTCCCACATTTTCATTTCTGATTTTTTTGGGGGGAGGGGAGCTTCTTAGTCTTTATATCACTACCCCTGTATGATAGAGAGTAAGTCAAATTTATTCTTTAATTTTTTCAGCATTATTAACTCATTTCATACATCCTTCCTTTTGAATGAAAAAATGCACTGCCATTGGATAACAACACTGAATACCAAAAGCATAAGAAAATAAGAGTAGAGAAAAGAAGAAGAACATCGGAATGTTTACAAGCAATATAAGCTATATAAAATTATTTAATCAGTTTTTCTATATGAGCTTAGGAACCCCAATGTTTATGTCTTATTCCATTACAGTCCCCTGAACTTTAGCCCTCTCACTTTAAATAAACCAAAAAAAGAATGAGTTTTTCTGTGCCATGAGAACATGCAGTGAATATGTTAGTTTAAGGCAACTGTAAATGAGTAATAGAATTAGGGCGTTAAGTAGGATTTCATTAGATTATGTAAATTTCAGTACTGCACACAGCATGCATTGACAATTTAAGCATCCCCAAAATATTCATAATATATTTCCTATTAGAACACAAGGAATTATGCTAGTGTTAGGTAGATGTCAGACAGTGCATAACTTACAGACTCAGATTGTGTATGTGTGTGTGTGTGTAACCTATAAAAAATTCCAATCCTCTTTTTTCCTTTCCTTCATTGTAGACCTCCTCAGTGTAAGTCTATTACACTAGACCGAGGACCAGATGGCTTAGGCTTCAGTATAGTAGGAGGATATGGCAGCCCTCATGGAGACTTACCCATTTATGTGAAAACAGTGTTTGCTAAGGTAAGCTTGCAAATTTTAACCATTCTCTTCTCTGCTAAACATTCATTAACAGTGGTCAGCAGCTGGCTTATTAGTTTATGGCCTGAGGTAATGCCAAATGGTTAACAGTTGATCATTTTCTTTCTAAACTCCCTACAGGAGCAAGTCATTAAATATTTTTGTACAATTTGAGCTTAATAATGTTTAAAGGAAAATAGCTTCAAATTAAAACTCCATGGAAACTCTTGACAACATGCATAAAAATATTAATTAATTTTAGTTAGTAAATTCTGTTCTTTCCTTTGAAAATAAGTTGTACATAATTGTCATTTGAAAATGGGGCCTTTTAAATATGTATGCTACAGAGCACTGGCATTTCTTTTTCTTTGCATTTTTTATTGTGAAATAGAAAATAGGTACAGAAAAGTGCACAAAATGTATATTCACGTTAACTAATAGAACATTTATTTGACAAGTTTAATTTCATTGAATAAAATAGAAAGACTACTAAAAAGAATTTAAAGAGTATCCAGCAGCCTCGTCATTTACAATAAATTGATTATTCATAATTAAGGGATTTTATTTTTTATAAAGAAAAACATTTCTATCTTAAGAATGTTTGAACAAAAATAAAGATACTGGGACACTGATGAAGCTATTCAAACAACCGAAACCCATGTTTGATTGCTAAGGCATATTTATGTTCATAAGACATATATTCTCAGACCTACAAAATTGGACAAAATTTTCTGCAGGAGAAAATCCAAAATTTCAAAATTTTATAGTGAAAGAAAGCAAAATTCATGCAAAACATGTTTAAAGACTTGATATAGAGGCTTTAGATTAATTCTATGGTCCTTTAATTTATGGAGGTTTTATTATATTATTTTGAAAAAAGTATTATTATTTTTAATTGGTTTAAAGTGCTTTAGCTTAATTTTTGAGATTTTTAAAAAAGCTATTGGTGTGTCCAAAAATACAAACAGCATTTGCCAGTGAACAGGAGAGTCATGCAGTCCTTTTCCTCAGCCTAGGAACAATTTATTTAAGGCATGCTAGTGAGAACATATTTTAAGAATTTCATCATTATGGATTCCTCATTAAATTCTCCATATTTTAATCTTATATTTAATTGCATAATTGTCTTCTGTAAGCATGCCTTAAGATGGGATTCTTTTTCAAACAACAATGTCTGTGTTTAATCTTTATCATGTAGGGCCCATAGTAATATGAAGAATCCATCTACCCTTGGGAAGTAAGAACCAAGACAGCTTGAGCCGCCTTTTCAAAGTCACAGAAAGAGTTAGAATTAACTGTGTATGTGCATGTGTGTGCGTGTGTGTGTGTGTGTGTGTGTGTGTGAGAGAGAGAGAGAGAGAGAGAGACAGACTAGAAATAGAATCCAGGGCCTCTCACATGCTGGCAAGAATACTGCCACTAAGCTATACCCCCAGCCCCAGCGATGGATTTTAAAATCAGCGCTTGTACCTTATCATGTCCTAGTCAACCTTCACATGGGCTTTGTGCTTTTGCAAACCTTTTAGCCCTTATACCCAGGTGCTGTGAAACTGATTTTATTCCTAGTTAATTTTGTGTCTTCTTTTTCTATAGGTCGTTACAGAATAGAAAATCATGGATTCTATGAAATCATTCCTACTAGGCAAATTCCCAAATATTCTTTATTAACTTGAATTTCTATCAACTGCTGTGCTGAATAGCGCCCCGCCCCCCACCCCCCAAAAAAAGAAATCCAACTAATCTATTGACTGCTAGATTCTCTCCCAAATTGGAATCTCAATACTAAAACCATTTAGGAGAAAGACCTCCTTTGTGTATGTTCATCATTGCTTAATATTTGTGGAGCACCAAGAGCAATGTGCCTGTATATGCAGAGCAATTTACATTCTTATTTAGATCTTTTTTTTTTTTTTTTTCTGTTGTGTGACATGAAGCTGCATTCTTTTGAGAAGTAAACAAGTCTACTTTATAATTGCAGGGAGCAGCCTCAGAAGATGGGCGTCTTAAAAGGGGTGATCAAATCATTGCTGTCAATGGGCAGAGCCTAGAAGGGGTAACTCATGAAGAAGCAGTGGCCATCCTCAAGCAGACAAAAGGCACTGTCACTTTGATGGTTCTCTCCTGAACTGGCTGCCTGAACTGAACCAATCCAATCTCTTGCTTACCTCCCACTATAAGAATGGAAGTAGTCTGTGGATAATTGATCTTGTGGATGACTTTTCCTATATTGTATTCATGGGTTATTCAAAACTGTAGGGAAAAATAACATTTAAGTTTGTTTTTGTAGTGTGGTTTTTTGCTGACATCTAAACATCATTTTTTCTTTCCCCTTGTATCTTGTGAACCTAAACTCAAAGAGGAATAATATTTGTGTATGGAAATCCAGTTTTTCTTTTAAAGTTATTTAAAATGTTGTAGTCACATGGATAAAAATTATGTATCAATCTCATTAATAGAGAATAATAATTCTAAATCTAACCAAAAAAAGTGACTTCAGGAAATTCACTTTTAGTTTGAATAGTGAAAATTTATAGTAAACAAGGAAAATCTTAGGAGAGTTTTTTAAAAAGGACTTAATTGAGCAATCTCTCTCTTTTCCCTACCCCAAACTAAGAAAAAAATAATCTAATACTCTTAGTATTTAAAAGTTCTGAACATTATAAAATACCGTTATCTCCTCACCTCTAATGTAAACATATATTTTTGCTGCTTAAATTGTGTTCTGTGATTGAGTAAATAGCAAATATATGGAGCAGTATTCCTAAGTTTTATAAAGGAATCATATTTAAAGCACATCTTGATGTTCATTTTCATTTTTTGACCTGTTATAAAATATTCTCATGTTGCTGTAAGTAAAGCAATGATGTTACCCCACATTGACTGTTTTTTCTAGAGAACAACCAGGCTAATCATGGAAGAATGTAAAAGGGTCCCAGAATCTTTTAGTGCTGTTTTCAACAACTGATGCAATACTGAAAATGTGTTTATGCGCTGTGCAGTTGTTTTTCAATTAGTATTACTCTTAATGACAGAGAAAAAAGCAATGTGTTAGTAATTATTTTGGTTGTATGCCCTTAGTAAATTGATAGAAAAATTAAGGGGATTAACATAACTTCATTTCATTGCCTTATATTAACATCTTATAATACAATAGTTTTAGACTAAGGGAAACAGATGGAGCTGTTTATTGAGACAACTGGCAAGGAATTATCATGTGTTCATTCCCATTTTAGAGCGTGAAACTCCTACATTAGAGTATATAAAGTCACTTTAAATATTATATTTGTAACAGAAGTAGTGTACAGATATTTTATTACAGCATTCTTGTGTAAACGCATAATTAAAGTGAATAAATAAGAAGAAGTTTCAGTGGTGCACAAATTAAAAAGCCAGAATTTCTGTTTGCTTGCTGTCTGTACTGAGGGAAAGGTTTATTATTTAAGACTTACTATTTAAAAATTGATTTCTGTCATGTCTAATAGCATGTATCATATCCACGGATGCAATTAGAAGAAATATGGACAATGTCATTATGGAAAACTCAGTATTTTTTACCTCCACAATATTTTTGAGCACTAAAGATTCATAGACTCCTAGGAAGGGAAGTCCCTGTGTGTTTTTCTAGGGTACTATTAATGCAATAATATTGGAAGTTATTCTTAGATTAATAAATAGCTAAAGTGTATTCAGAGAGAAAAATCATAATGAAAATTATTTATTTTAATAAATATGAAAAGTCTGATTTACACACTGATCAAAGAATTGAGAACTCTTTACTAGTTCTGTCCCCAAATTAGCCAGTAAGAATATACATTCCCTCAGATTTATCTCATCTGTAAAATGATAATTGTTTCATCAGAAAATTTCTATTTAATTCTAAAATGCAAGAAAATATTTTTATAAGAATTCTGTGCTTCTAGTCCATACAAAAATAAATGGAAAAAACTACACACCTAGTGCAACAATTTGAGAGATGTATTCCTCAACCAATCATTGTAAATTGAGGTGCTTAATGTAAAAAAATCAGTTTACTATTTCAGTGATATATCCATTTTCTTAGCCACCACTTAGGGCCCTCCTTTATGAAGCTATGCCAGGATTCTTTGGTTGTAGGCCACTGAAAGCTAAACTGACCACTTTTAGAAGTTTAAACTAGCAAAAATGTTTATAGAGGACTCTGCATACTAATACTGTGTGAGGGAAAGTAAGCCAGTTGAATTGAAGTTTGAGTAAATATGTGAAAGAGTCTCCAAAAAAGAACCCAATGGACATCTGTCCTAGCTTAAACAGTATTCTCCCAAAATTCATGTCTACCTGGAATCCTAGAATGTGACCATTGGTCATAGGTTCTTTGCAGAAGTAATTATTTATGATCATTGTGGGATAGAGTGTGTCCTATCCTTTGACTTGTAGCTTTATAAGACTGTATGAAGACAGAGACAAAGACAAATGAGTAATTGTTAATATCATTGAGAAGTAAGATTTTCATCATACAAGAAAGGAAGTACACAGAATGTAAGGTCAATAAAACAATTTATAGTCCTGAATTAAAAAACAAAACAAACAATGATGGAAAAGAAATATGCCAAGGAACACCTGGGGCCACCAAAAGCTGGAGAAATAAGGATTCTTTCCCGGGGCCTGTTGACACCTTGATTTCAGACTTCTGGCCTCCAGAACTATGAGATAATAAACTCTGTTATTTTAAGCCACGATGTTGTGGTATTTATTATGGATGGCATTTATTATGGATGCCCTGAGAAATTAATATTATATTTTTGTATCCTGAGCTACTGTCATTGTGCTGGGATAGTAAGATATTATAAATTGCTATTAACATATGAAAAGAGAAAAGGGAGGAAAAGAAAGAGAGAGGAAGGAAGGTAGAGTTTAAAAGCAAAAGAGTATAGATTCATCGACATTGTAGAGAAATAACAAAGGCTTGTGTTTCCTATACTATTTCTTTCTGGAGTTTTCTGTGGTGAAGAAATAAAGTACTTGAGCAAAGAGTTTAAATAAAGACTCTTAATGTTGTGCCATGTATAAACCAAGACAGTGGATCATCCATAATGCCTACTGAGATTGATTGAGTCTAACAGGAGACTACTACAAGTTTCTGGTGGTGTTCCTCAACACTCCGAGGGATAATAATGGCAGTGACAAAGTGTTTCATTTCAGCACTGACTGATTCATAAAAGTGGGAGTAGCAGGGAGGCCTAGCAAATCACAGCATCCGTATGTCAGAGCAGCAATGGAATTGGAGGCATAAAAGGATTACGAGTCATGAGAGACAAGAAGACAAGAAAAAGGAGGATCATTTTTTTTTTTTTTCTCTCGTCAGAAGAACCTTGACAAAGCAGATTTCGATAGACATGAACAAGCAGAAGGGGGCTGTTTCTGCATTGGGATAGACATACTAAGCTGCCTTGGATTTGGTCAGCTCATTTGTTGTCTGGATGACAGGCAGTGATTTAGTGTCCCTCTTCAGATCTCCATCAGCCTGAAAACTTGAAAGAATGCCTGCAGAGAGACAAGGATAAACAGGTTTTTTTGTTTTGTTTTGTTTTTTTAAGGTGTGGGAGGGACCCTCAGAATGATCATCACCAGCTTTCAGCAGTCCTGGTGTGTTGTTTCATGTCTGTGATGTTCTGGAATGCATTTGATTCATGCAAAGATGTTCCTCAACTTCTACTAGGAATTAATATTTAATTTTGCCATTTTCTAAAGACAGCTAGTTGGAAGGCAGGATTGAATCCATTATCTTGAGAGAAAAATAGTTGATATCAAGAAAACTTCCAAATTAAAAGAGTGTGAAAGCTAAGAAACATGTTCTTAAAGTGATTTTACAAGTTTTCTGTATTGTCCATTTCAATATAAACTAGAAGAAACAATTTATATTTTATTTGTGTAAGCATTTTAATTGCCAGTTAAGTACTGAAAGTTTAGTAGTAGGACCTAGCAAGGAATTCTGTCAAGAAGGAGGCAAAGTTAGCCAGGCACAGTGGTAATCCACACCTGTAATCCCAGCAGCTGGGGAGGCTGAGACAGGAGGATTGCAAGTTCATAGCCTTAGCAAAAGCAAGGCACTAAGCAACTCAGTGAAAGCTTGTTTCTAAATAAAATACAAAATTGGGCTGGGGATGTGGTCAAGTGCCCCTGAGTTCAATCCCTGGGACCTCCCCCGCAAGAAAGGAGGCAAATTTATGGTAATGAGCTCAGAATCATTACAGCTATTTCTTGACATTTTCATGAGTACCAGAAGCGCAGTCCATCACAAGATTGATGAGGCACCTGCTAGGAGCAGGCCCCTACTTGTTCTCCTCACACTAGACAGAAGACTGTGTCATTTGTGAATACTTTGTGATCCCTGCCTCACCCTCCTTTTCCTTATATGCATATGTTCAGAAACAAACATACTTATCCTTGGACATTTTCTTCTTTGTTTTTTAAAAATTGTGCTTTTTCACCTGAATTTACCTTAAAATACTTGGCATTAAAAAATTCCATTCCCCAAATTTTCTTAACATCAAGTTACTGCCTTCAATAAAACTTAGATGTATATTGATTTGGAAAATTAAATAGATTATGTAAAGTTTTAATACCATGCAACAGAATAAGTTATCAAGAAATGGTTGTAGTACAGTTGTATGAGTACCATAAATGTAATACTTTCTTTAAATAGTCTTCAGTTTTCATTTCTGTCAGTTGTATCTTTTTCCTCTGAAGTTGGATGGAAATTAGCTTATACTAAACTTTCCAAAATTTCGTTTGTTTTGCATACAACCTTCATCATGTTTCCCATATCCTTATATAACTATACTATTACTTACTAAATATTTTTCTTTTAACTTAAATGGGCTATAAAGAGAAGTTGTCTCTCACTCCTTTGCATGGAAAACCAATATAGTTTGCTATAAATACAAAATAACTATGAGCAAATGCTCATAAACTTTCTCAAGATACTCTTGTTTACCAAGGGTCAGAATTTCATAACTGAGGGCTGCTCTCTTTGTTAGAAAGGGAGATTTGCCGATGGTAGCATGGTGTTGACATCTCTTTGGAAACTCTTCCTTGGACTTATTAGAACTGGAAGGGTTTTTTTTTCCTCATGTAATCCAACATACATTAGGATACATATAGTCCTAAAATGTTGGTTTTTTAGGACTACCTAAAATGATATGCTTCCTCCATTATACCAAAATCATGAAGGTTTTGCTTTTCTAAAATATGAAAGCCACCAAATTCCTATCCTTAAGAGTGTGCTTAGTTATAGAATTACTTACTATTTTGTTTATAAGAATTTAACTAAAATCAGAATTGGGTCATCATGTCCAGTATTTTAGTCTTGCCAAACTTGAGTTTGAAATAAAGGACAAATGACAAAATTAATGGAGTAAAATTAATGTTGTGGTAATATTAAATAAAGCTAATGCCTTTTGCACCTGGAGGGCTATACAGATGGCAGGCATACCTAATTATGCACCCTGCTGCCTTTAAGTATACTGATAAAATCTCTCAACTGACTTTAAAATATGTTAATGTACCAGCTCCTAAAAGATTTAGTAAGGCAACCCAGTACACAGAAAAACATTCTAACATTTTTATTTTTAAGGGAAAAATTATAATTCTATAAGTTAAATAAAATAATTTAAAATTTACCTATTTTTTAAAAAACAAATTATTACAGTTATTAAGTCCATTAGTCCCATTAGAAAAAGGATATTCTCAAACCAGTCAGAAGTACTTAACGTAAGTTTACATTTTTACTTACTGCACATCAGATAAAAAAGAATAGAATCCTAAATAAGTTGATTTGATTTCTCTAGATACAAATTGCATTGGTAAATTATTGCTCATATAGATAAATAGATAGATATAAACTCATTCAATTATTTTAAAATTTTTTTGGTTATTTTTAATTACACATGATAGTAGAATCTATTTTGATAAAATTATACAAGCAATTATTCTAATTAGGACCCCATTCTTCTGGATGTACATGATAGTGGGATTCACTTAGGTATGTCGGATTCATCCCACTATCTTTCCTATTCCTATCACTCACTCCCTTCATTCCCCTTTGTCTAATCTCATTCAATTATTTAAGAAGTAATGCTTCTTTAGAAAATTACAATCCAGACATAGTGATGCAGCCCTATAATCTCAGTAACTTGGGAGGCTGAAGCAGAAGGATCGCAACTTTGAGGCTAGCCTTTGCAATTCAGGAAGAACCTTAGTAACTTTTCAAGACCCTGTCTCAAGAGTACAAAGGACTAGGGATATATCTCAGTGGTAGAGCACCCCTGGGTTCAATTCCCAGTGCCCCCCCCCAAAAAAAAGACAAAAGAATATTGCTATAATTATATATAGAGATAATATATTTTGCTAGAAGAATTTCCAGCAAGAAGATGGAGGTTTAAAATTTATTATGAATTCTCTGCATTTTAGGAATGTAATCCTATGAACTTCCTTTTGCTGCAGTTGGATGTGCAGTTAGGAGCACAACCAGCCACTTCTACTTTTGAATTCAGATGATTTTTTAAATCCTTTTTTTAATAATATTTTTATAAACATGCTATCATTTTTTATATTTAGATTTATATTTGTTACTTACATTCTTAAAGAATGAATAGTATGGTTTGGATCTTGAACGGCCCCCAAAGACCATGTGTTAAAGGCTTGGTCACCAGCCTCTAGTGCTTTTGGAAGGTGGTAGAACGTTTAGAATTTGGGACCTATGGAAAAGAAGGTCTGATTGTTGGGGATGTGCTGTGGAAGGACCAGTCTTCTCTCTTTCTCTTTAAGGTGAGCTGTTTCCCCTGCTTTGTACTTTTGCATGATGTTCTGCCTCTCCACAGGCCCAAAGACAAGCTTGTCAATCAGCCTTGAACTGAAAGCTCTTAAACAATGAGCCAAAATAAATCATCTTCTTATAACTTGCTTATCTTATTAATCATTTACCATAAATACAAAATATGTTGGTTCATTTTTAAGAACAAGTGGCTTATTTTTAGACTAATAAGCATATAATTTCTTCACATTTTATTATTTAATATTAGGGCTAATATATAAATTATACATTTAAAACTTTACATTTGTAATAGTTGTTGCCATTTGGATAACATACTATCAACCCATTCATCAACACTTATTTATAGGTATCTGATTATTATTATTCCTATTCAGTAGTTAATTTTTTTCTAAAGCTTTTTTTTTTCAGTCTACAGGTATTTAGGTAATAAAGTTATCATGGTCTCATCCTATACTTTGCCTTTCATGTGTCACTTAATGTCAGTTGTATCTGATAAATGTCTTCTACTAAAGGAACTATAGATTGGGACTCTGTATAGGACTCTAGATCTCAAGGCTGTGCTTCATTTGTGCCCTGGCCTGGTTCCTGGCCAGAAGACAGCTGAGATCTCTGAGCCTTGGCCTCCTTTGTTAGTAAAATAGGGTTACTAACATCTTTCTCACATGACTATTGGCATCAAATGAGAAGAAATGTCTGCACATGAGGATGCTGATAAAAGATAGAAATAACATCACTCTTACAAAAATCAATGCAAATGAAGGACTGTGGTACATCTAGTGAAATCGTGGGAGGCATCTGAAATGAAGTGTGCTATAACCACCATCAATTTACATCCCAACTTCCAAAAGAAACTTGTAAAGTACCGTCCTACTCTCTCATTCTAGATATTTCCTTATACTTG